CCGACCGGTCAGCCCGAAAAGGGCCAACAGAAACACCCTACTGGTAACAAACGGAAGGACTTCCGTAACGAGCGACCACCCCAACAAACACAATAAGGAAGAGAACTAACCCTAACCCTACCCCAAACCTAAACCCTAGAATCTACTCTTACCACAACCTTACCCCTTTCCCCTCTGTTCTAAGGTTTCATAAAACAAAAAAGCCCTATTAGTTCGTGACAATTCCCAGCTAGATCTAGATCTAGATCGACCCCTACCCACACACCCTTAAAGGATAGTATTACGTCTACAAATAATGGCAGACGAGCCCCGCAAAATAAGACAATGACCAACAACATTACGTTGATTCTATGACTTCACCTAGCCACAAATGTGCCTTACGTCAAAAGCAGCAGTCGTTGAGCACCAACCAGCACCAAAAACAACCAACACGCAACACGCCAAGACACTTTAAAAAAATACTAATGTGTTGACGACCTGCCCACTGCCGGGGCCCACTACTCCTAACTTCTACTTCTAGACTCTATTGTGTATTAATGCGCAATGTGGGTAAATGCTACCCCGGGGACTGCCCATCTTCCTACCCCAGACAAAACCAAACAAAAGTAGTAACGTGATTTCCGAGCCCGACCTGTGAATCGTGATCTCTCAGTGGGTCACACTGTCCACGCTTCGATTCTCATTGAAAGCCGCAAGCCCGCCTGAGGTCACTCTGTGTCAGTGAAACGTGCTGTGCTGCGGGGGTTCACATTCAGTCTGTTGTGTTGGGTTAACTCCGCTCAGCCCAAGTACCTTGCGCCCCCGCCTCCTCCCCCCCCCCTCACCCTCCGTCCCACCACGCACACAGACACACACACGCGCGCACACATACACACACACAGGCACACAACCAACCCTCGGCAGACGTCGAGACGTCAGTGTGACGTCACAGGCGAGACAGCTTTTTGATCGCCGCCATAACAAAAATAGCCACATCATCATTTCTCGAGCTGTATTCTATCGGCTTCAAGTCTAAGGAAGATCATATTATCAGATTGATAATCAATTTCCCTTTTATTTAGCACGTTCAATACACAATGTTGTTCTTTGTCGAGGAAACGTGTCGTTTCTAGTGTAAAAAACATCGATATTGGTGGGAGGAATCCAACTAGTGCACACACCTTAGAGCGTTGGCCACCGTACCGGTTAGGCCTCGGCTTATTCAAGGCTGTTTTGTTTGTCTATTTCCCATCGTTGCCTGTGTGTTTTGTTTCATTCCTTATTAATCGGTTTCTCATATAAATACAAGAGTGTACATTATTATAGGCGTGTTCGCAATTTATAGGAAAGTATTGGTTTTGACTGTGAGTTATCGGTTTCGGAAAAAAATTGTCGACCGGGAGGTTCAACTGACGGAACAGCGAGGTATTTTGCGGCCAAACGGGGTCTAGGCCTAGTCCTTTCCCTCACACGCTCAACGCAAAGCTGTTTGCGGACGGAAGACGCAAGAGCGCGCTGCGGTGCCTCAAAGCCGCCGCACGTGAAATGGATTACACTTGGTGCATGGTTCGGCGTTTTGTTTGATATAAAGTATTATATCTTTTCTATTTCAAAGTGATACACTGTTCTGTATCAATGAGTGTGCTTCATGGAAGACTTTACCACCCATGTGAACCCCGACGTGAAGCGGGTCGTCCAAAGCTTCCAAACTGCTGCTATTCGTAGCTTGAGCGGACCTAACGGGGTGCCTCTTCGGACTGTAGGTGTCCTTGGCCACCTATCGAAAATGAGTGCCGCTGATGTTGAAGAATATCATAAGGCCTTGACTGCCACAAAGAAATTAGCTGATGAGAAGAACGTTGAATATGACAGTCCTTTTCATGCTCCCCCGCCATTTCCAATTCAGCAGATGCCAGTTTTTACCCCCGTTGACACAACGCGAAGTGAAAGATCTGATACGATTTTAGAAGGAGAGACCATCGCTTGCTTTACGGTTGGTGGAGAAAAACGCCTGTGTTTACCCCAAATTCTGAATTCAGTGCTTCGAGATTTCAGTTTGCCGCAGATAAATGCTGTGTGTGATGAACTGCATATCTTTTGTTCAAGATGCAATCTAATTCAATTGGATACTTTGAAGCTTCTGAACATACTCCCATCCACTGCGCCAAGTTGTGGACTCATTACTAAAACAGATGCGGAGAGACTCTGCAACGCTCTTTTACATGGAAATCCAGAGAGAAGTTTAGAGCCACCGTCTCGAAATAGTTTCAAAGTTTATCATGAGTGTTTTGGGAAGTGTAAAGGAATGTTCAACCCAGATGCATACACAAGCCCAGATTCAAAATGTATTCGTTGTGTGGATTGTTGTGGTATGTTCAGTCCATCGAAGTTTGTGTGCCACTCTCACAAATCGTTGGAAAATCGCACTTGTCATTGGGGGTTTGATTCTGCAAACTGGAGATCCTACTTACTGCTTGCAAAAGACCAGAACTTGAATGACAGTGGAAGACTGCAAGATGCCATTGAGGAAATCAAGACACGATTTGATCCTTCTCAAAAGCAAAAGCGCAGACAGGTAAGGCTGAAGTCGAAGTCCGATTGAGTTTTTCCTGCCCTGTAGGCGTAGAATCTAATCTAGATTCTAGAATAGATTCTAGATCTATGTGTGAAGGAAGAGGCTAGCCGTACTTAAGTACGGCTAGACTCGCAGTCTAGCCGTAGCCTTATAATTTATTCTTAATATGATGGCTAGACTGACCATTTCA